AGCTGTGTCATTTTTTTCCAGGTCAGTCTTGGGGAAATCATTCTGCCGGTGCTAATAGCGAGAGTGAAGACGCAGTGTTAACGAGGAGCTACCAGCAGCTCGGAGCAGACCGACAGGACAGAACAGATCGTTGCGTTGATAGGGCAAAGAGATGTGACACCCGCGGTCCCCAACAAAAAATCGTGGACGCCAAGCAGAGGATGGGTACAAGCACCACGGGTACAAGCACCACGGGACCCCTTCTTGGTTGCCGCTGGGGGTTTTATATCTCCCCATTTGGAGGCCGTCATTTGAGGAGGTCCGTTTGGCGCTGGGAGGACGAGCATCGACACGCGTTTGAGAAGCTCAAGAATCTTCTGATTTATTAATCCGAGCTTGGTGATTCCCGATCCAAGTTTGCCGTACTATCTTTTCAGAGCTTTCAGCTAGTGAGATGAGTGTTGGAGCCGCGCTCTTTCAAGGGGAGGATATAATGCAACCCGTCGCATATTCTCTATCTGAAACGCAGCGGAAGTGATCAGCGAGAAATTCAATCATGCAGCTACTGGTGAGCCCCCGTTCCTGTTGGCCGAAGGATTTGAATCTCGGTTGCCAGGGCGGTGGCTTCGTTTGGAATCGGATTTTAACGTCTGTGCGGAAAGGACGTTAGCTAAGCTTTACCGGGACTTGTTATCCTGGAACGCAGAGCAAGCCAACTGGTCTGGAGATTCCGTGGTGTTCGAGATGAGCGGCAATGAGAAACTTATCTCGCGCACCAGAGCGTGAACTCCAAGCGTGGTCTTTTCCCCATAAGGTGAAGGGGAAGTGGTAGTGAAGCCGGTGAAGCGGGTCGGAGTAGCAAAGGCCTTGTGCTCTTTTAGGCCTTGTATTATGCTGCAGTACTGGTGTGTGCAGCGGACGTCTCGATGTGTCTGTCACTGGAAGTGGCGACATGAATTCATGGGCGTCATTCAGGGACCAAGACCGCTTGAAGGATTAAGACCGCTTGAAGGATTAAGACCGCTTGAAGGATTAAGACCGGGACAACTCAACTGGGTTGAAGGGTCGGATAAAGACCGGGTTGAGGCATCGGAGATACAACTTACAACAGCTGCAGACATCTCGTATAGTCTTACGATTGCGCCACAGCTGACTCTCCAAACGTAGTCGTACACCTCGTCAGTTATGACTCGGCCGAGCATCTCATCTAGAGCCTTATCGTAGAGCTGACGGAACCTGTCTTTGGATACGGAAAATTTGAATGACTTTTTTTCGAGCACAGAGCGCACGATGTCAGTATATGTTGTGCACGTTTCGATGGCATGTTCATCGATGAGCATCCGGACCAACCGACGCGCGAGTTGCTCCTCCAGCCACAGGGGCCCACGCAGGGCATGTTGGCCAGGTCTGTTGCGATCAAACCCGGTATTTTGTCCGACAGGGAAGTGAGCTTCAGTGAGAGAGTTCGTTCCAGATATGTCCCATGATATCAAGCCTGAGAAACAAGCGGAGACCAACCGTTCAAAACAGTGGTGATATATGGCACGATATTGTACGTTACGAATCCTCGATGCTCGTAGGGTCGTGTTTTGAATCCAGCCCATGAGTCTATCCTCGTACAACCTCCTCGCTCGGCTGACATCGGAGTCAGCACGCACCCGTGAAAGTTGGGACGCGAGAGCATCCATGTCTGTAGTCATTCTTTTACTTACGCAATCTCCATGATAGCTACCAGTGTTGCTGACACTGTCCATCCAATGCATTACAGATTGACTGAAACGATGTAGTAGCTTCCGCCGTCTTTCGTCCATCGTGAATACCGGCGAATATTCTTTGAGCTCTGCCAGTGCGTACCTGAATGCTTGTCCGGTATGCCATCGAGCGAGTACGTACAGACACCGGACTCTCGCATCCGGTGACATACCAGCTCTCTTGTCCAGGTAGTAAGCCCAACCGGCTACAGCCGCAGCTGATCGTAGACGCCCACCGTCCTGAAAGATGCTGCTTGGGGCCCACTCATCGGTTAATTGGTATTGTGATTTAAGCCAAGACTGAGGCAAGACAAGTGTGTTGTAGGCTTCTTTTAAACGGGAGACCACTGCACTCACACCTTCCGTGCTTTTACACGAAATTAACCATTCACACACATCCGCGAAACCTAAGTCACTTATTTGTTCGCGTTCTTCCACGGTTCCACGAGTCACAGCAGGACCAATGATGGGACATCGAACCGAAATTACGTGCCATTCAAACCACTTGATGATTTCCTCATCGTCGCCGTCTCGAAGAAGGCGTTCCAGCTGACGAGCTTCACTGTCCTCGGCCATACCCTGGAAGAACAAACTACGAGCCCACTGACCCGGCTGTGTTCCGATGCTATCCACCAATGCCAATACTGTGACGAAACCCTGACAGAACCTAACCGACCGACCCGGAAAACACCGCATTGGGTTTTTTTGGGCTATTTTATCCGGTTCTCCGCCTTGAGAAGACCGACTTCTCCGTCGCGGACTGTGGAACCAAAATACCAGCACTGTCTTAATCCAACACGGACCGTCGTCCAACACGGACCGTCCAACACGGACCGTCCAACACGGACCGTCCGACACGGATTGTCTTAGTGAAACCGGAGGTCAATCCGTGTTTCCGGTTTCACTGACCTCTTCTTTTCTGGGCTGAGTTCTGCGGGGTGCCGAACTTACACCGTGTTGACGACCCTGTACGGACCACTTCCCTAGAGACCATCGAGTGTCGATAGAAGAACCAGTACGCATAACAAGGCAGCTCGGTACGCTGCACCCCGATAGCCATGCAAGCAAGCCCCAACCAGCTCCAACATGCGGAGACACCGCGGCGGTTTTGTTGTTCGTCGCCGAGGGCAGCCGCTATCTTGAAAACTGTTTCAAACGCCCCAACATATGTGTTAGCTTCCTACATTCCCGCTGCGTGTTGCACACGAATGTCAGAAACTCTCCTGACACTTGGCGGACTCCAACCCGGGGTCATCCGGTTGGAGGAGGCGACCACGTGTTCGCCACAGCCGTTCCTTATGCGCTTTAGTTCCGTGTGTGGTCAAATTAGGGAGGGCAGTAGTCGTAGGCTGTTGGTTCTGCGTGTTGCCAGTTCTTCGTCGGAGAGTACTTGTTCAAATAATTGTTTGCCCAAGGCCTGTGCGCGAAGTGCAACTGTGGAGAGAACAGGCAACGTGAGTCCGGCAACATATCCTGCAGAGGTTTTACCGATGCCGACGACTTGTCCACTCTCGTCCACAGCGGCGAAAACGCGGTGGCTGACGGTGTGTCCCTCTTCTTGCGTTAGATCCGCCACGGCGTGGTTCCCGACGAGGCCGAGACCAACAAGGATTGGGACCCTCTCGCAGCCGGGTACGCGCAGCCGTTCGGTCTTGTGTATCCGGAAGCGCATTACTTGGTGCAGTGATGCCAGCCGCACGTCAAACAAACCGCCCGCACTCACCTCCTGGAATCGGATAACCCCAGGTTCGAGTCCGTCCGCTGCCGCGGCCTCGTCGCCGCCGCCGGCGGCCTCGACGAGGCGGACGAGTTGAGCGTCGTCGCCTTCACAGCCAGCGGCGGTTTTGACCACGACTTGGACAGCAGGGAGGCGACAGTCTTTGAGAGCCGCAGCGACGGCGACAGAAGCGAGGTCGAGTAGCGAGCCGCCGACGGCGAGGACGAGAACGTCGACATAGAGGTGCCAGACAAAGACGCCGGGTTTTACACACAGCAGTGTACGGGGGAAGACCAGTTCGCCGAAGCAATATTGCGCAAGCAAAGAACCTAACCGTAACCCACAGGCTGAGTGCGACTCTCCCAACTCGACCAGACGCTTCTCTGCCGCCGCCGGCGCCGCAAAGGACACGTTCACAAACACCTCGCCATGACTTGGTGCTGCCAAACGCGGCGGTACCAGGTCCGCCTTCACACCCACTATCACGTCCGCTTCACCGTTACTTACCCGCGCACTGCCAAACTCAGTCGGAACAACACCCGTACTTACGCTCAACTTCCGGAACTCGAAGTTGCTTCGCCCGTCCACGCGACAGTTGTCCCGGATTCCCTCCAGAGTGAAGCTCTTCTCCGCCAACGAAATGCCCGTCGCCAACGAACTCTCCTCCATTTTTTTTTCACCACCCGACACAATAATTAAGAGAGATACCCCCAAGTTAAAGATCTTCCCACAAGGAAAATGAAATCCACCCACAGACAACGGCTTCCAGGTTTGACAAGAGCTGAAGAACGTTCATTTCCTCCAACCTTGCCGCACGGTCTGCATGACGCAGGATCTCATGACTTAAGACTTTCCGCATCTTTTCTCGGGCACCAGAAATGTGCAGGACATCAAATGGCGCTGAAGAGATCAAGTCTTCTGGGTCTAAAGGCCGTGCGGTGACGCGCGCCAACTGGGTTGGGACACTCGGCGAAGGCGGCGCAAGAAGCGGTTCATCAATTGCTGCAGCCACGTCACTTACCAGCGTGATTGCGTTGCAACTCACCTTCCACGAGTGCTCATATGCCTCTTCAGTTGCCACCCGGGCTGCTGTCTCCTGTACAGACCTATCGTACAGCTGGTTGAAGGTTTCTTCCGAGGCTGAAAAACGGAACCGCTCTTCCCGACGTAGACTGCAGATAACATCTTCTCGCGTCAGAGGACTTCCCATCTGACGA